CGCCAAGTAATCATAAGGAGTACCAGGTATGGGTCAGGTCTTAGTATACTAATTCAATACACCGTTTTCTAGTACAAAACATACTTTCAAATAGAACATTTGGTAGACAAAACTAGAAACTTACCAGTAAAAGGGTTTAATCCATTTTATTAAACCAATATAACTTAAAAGGACCTTTAGTGGTTAATTCTATAAAATCTTAGTTTACACATCAGGGTTATATATAAGTAACATCCGACAGGTAGTTGGATGTATGCTTTCCACCTCATTTCATGTTCCTTGTTTGGTTGTGGGCTTAGGGCAGATTCACACAATTAACTATCCGTTCGATATTAGGTTATATATAACTAGTGTAAACTAAGTGATTATAGAAGGAACTATTATGGTTACCATTTTTACTAAAGGAAATAAGGGTTTTTCATAAAGAATGGTTTCATCAAATATAAAGGAACTATTATAGTTAACTCCGTGAGTACCAAATGAATACACCAGGGTTATATACAACAAGGATCTAACAAACAATGGGATGTGTGACCTCCGCCTCATTTCATGTTCCTTGTTTGGTTGTGGGCTTAGGGCAGATACACACAATCGATTGTTTGTTTACTCTGGGTTTTATATAACTTGTATTCATTTAGTACTCATAGAAAGGATTGTAGAGTCAATTTTACTTATCTTTCATCATATCAGGAAATATAGGATTTTCTGGAGGAACAGACGAACTTTTCTAAAAGAACTTACAACTTACATCACATCACTAAATACTTATGAACTCACCAGCTTAAATGTTGATCTACTCTTTCAAAATAACTTGTATTCTCAGGAAACCAGTAGACAGGTACGCATACTGGGATTCAGAAGATGGAGCGTAGTAGCTTCATGTCTCGTTTTGTTATTTACTTTCGTAGTCTATCTTATGTGAACCACATACTTTGTAAACACTTTTTTTCAAATGAAATGGTTGTTTGTTACTTGATTACTATGATGCATGTATTGTGATACTAACCATGACGTCCTCTGCCCCCGAACGTTTCCGCCGTTCCGGTTTGGGGTGTGACAGTTATCTTATATGGGATGCTATCACTCGGGGTGCTTTTGTTCACACTGGAACCAGAAGAGTCATTAAGACTCAGTCTGATTACAACAAACTTCTTCTCGATGTTAAATATGTCCCTCAATACGAGAAGAACAAACTGATTAGAAGTGTTAAGGCAATGAGAATCATTCGATTTGCTTTTCCGGCCAACACTTTTCGTCTGGTTAGTTCCTATGACACAACCAAAGCAATCTGGGATAGGCTTAAGGAATTATATTCTACAGATGCAGATCTTGAACATTCCACTCAAACACTCCTGCTTTCGGAGTTTCGAGCCTTCTTACAAAAACCTAAAGAAAATCTATGTTAATCCTTCAACCGCTACAATCATCTTCTCACCAAGATGTTGAAACATGGCATTGGATGTGAAGTAATCGAGAAAAAAGTCACGTTTATCAATGGACTTTGATCAGAGTGGAAGGCATTAGTGTCTATAGTTAAGGCACACGAGCAGTTCAAGAACTATAAATTGGCCAAGCTTGTTGGCATCTTGAAGTCACATGAAGATGAAGTGACTAAAGAAGCGAAAGTAGTCTCTGGGATGGGAACATTGACACTTGTCACGAAGGGTAAGAAATTTGATGAAGAGGATGATTCATATTTTGAGCTTTTTTATAGTGAACTCTCTAAATAAGAGTTTGCAATGATTGTGTCGAATCCAAAGAGGTTCGCGAAAAAGAACTTCAACCAGAATAAGAACCAAAACTGGCAGGGCAGCTACAGCTCTGAAAAGGTGAAAAAGGAAAATGTGAGCGGTTCGCATAAGGATGAAGACAAGAAAGAGATGAAGCACATGGGTGACTCCGGCTATGATTGCAACTATTCCCATGGCAAAAAATCATTTAGCGAAGGAGTGCATGCTGTGAAGATTGAACGAAAAGAAGGAGGGAAAAGATGATGAAGCGTACCATCTGCGAAAGCTTGAATAAATCAAGAAGAAAAAGAATGCAGATAACATTATGCCTGCTTTGATTGTGTAGGAAAATGAAGCTGATGATGAATTTGGCAGGGTGGAAGTCTGGTCCACCGATTCTGAAGACGAGGAGGTTTGCAGACCTACTCATAGGAGAAGTTTCATTACGAAAGAAGTGGATTCGCATTCTGGAGGAAGGTGTCTCATGGTGACAAATGATGTGTCATAGATGCGAGGATATGCCACAGATAGTCGATATCGGGGTGATAGCTGCTTCGCTGCAAAACCAGTTTTTGAGCAAATCAGCGAAAGTGATCAGTTGATCAATAAGGTACACTCTATTCTCGAATCACTCCATATTCCGGTGTCCAGATACGAAACTGATCTAAATGAGCTAAATTTCACATTTTCAAGTATCAGTGATAGTTTAAAACAAACTCGCTTGACAAATACTAACTTAACCGATCAAATCAGAAGGATTTCGTCGAAGAGTGAGGAGAGACGCATTTGGATAGAGAATATTGAGTCCGACTTAGATAAATCTAGGGATGAGTTAATTTACTTGCAACGAGACAATTTAATGCTTTTGAAATAATGTAATATTTTTTGTTTAATTACGAAAAGGCTTTATTTTAACATTATTCAGTTGCATCTTGATTATGAGATTGGTAAGAAAATTCACAAAAGGATCTTACCATTCCTTGAATTAAAAGAATACTAAATCGACGGTGATTGTTACAAGTGCGAATCAATAGTTTCGTCTGATGAAACTTCATATGCTTATAGGATAGGTCTGGACAGAACTGAATCATACATTCAGTCCAAAGACAATAAGAACATGTTAAAGCAGCTTTTGGATGAAAATGACAAAAGACAAGTTAAATCTGATACTATACAGAAGTTCAACTCATTGAGTACCAAGTTAAGTTCAGATAACAAACTTAATGTTGATAATACGTCTGAATTTGATGAGGACAGTGATATAAGCGAAATTTCTGTAGAGGATGAGGTTGACTGTTCTGAGTTCATTAAAAACAAACTTGTCGCTGCGAAAGTCCTAATATCTGAGGATTCAGTAGAGTTCGCACGAATTTCCAAAACTAAACCTGAAGTTTTAAAAGTGAAAGCGATCGTTTTTCCTAACGTCCAAACTGTCCCCAACCAAGTTTTTACAACAAAAAGACTTGACAAAAACCAAACTATTGAATTAACGTCCTTAGTTGAAGAAGACAAGGCATATGGATGCGATGAGTACTTTTCGTCACCTCCTATCGATAACACTGACGAAACAGCCGGTCTCTCAGAAAGAACCACATGGAGAGTAAAAGGAAGATACGTAGCAGAACCTTTCAGCAAAGTCAATTCCAGCTACGAGAAAGGAAGTCCCAGTGGAACTAAGAATGTTCCTAGCTACACATCTTCAATGCAAAATGAAACTCCAGCAAGAAAGCCAAGAGCGAAAGCTAACATCCACAAATCCATAGAACAGTTCGCCGCCAAGAAACGCCAAAGGAACGCGAGATACAACAAAAACCTCAAGGAAAGAAAGCAATTCTGGGAATCCAGAAATCCCAACTTCGTTTGCATTGAAAAATCTGTTAATCAAAATGTGAAAGTAACATCCAATGCAAACCCAAAGAGTTCATGGCAAAGTCTGTTTAGCAATCCACACCAAAAGGGTTCTCAAAAACCAATTCCTTCAAAGCCAAAAGGCCGAGTGGAAAATCCAAAACCTCAACCCTCTTAAAACAAGTATGCTTCGCATGCTAACACACTACTAGAAAAAACATCCTTTTACGACGCGCAATGCGTGTCAAGGAAGGCCCTGTCATAACGAGAGACGACACGCTTTTGCGCGTATTTACGACGCTCATTTACGACACGCAATGCGTATCAAGGAAGGCCCTGTCATAAAGGAAGACGACACGCATTTGCGTGTCGTAACCTTACGATGCGTGTTTAGAACACGCATTGCGTATCATTATAGCCCCTGTCATAAATGACGAGGACACGCATTTGCGTGTCTTAAACTTCAGCAACCATTTACAATATGCATATACAACGAGCCGTTATGATACTCTTTTACGCATAATACAAAAGTATAGAAAAGAAAATATATACCAAAACAATCAATTTCATCTAATAACATCATGTCAAAAAATTGTAATACATTGATATTAAAGGGATTTTATTGTACATTGTTATTAAGAGGTTTTCCCTAACAATATAACCTAATACTACATTGCTATAAAGGGGCACCTTCTTGTCTCCGTAACTCATCATTAAGCTGTCTAAAGAAGCTCTGAAACCCTTCATGTATACTGTCTTGAACCCTTCAATCCCAACTCTTGACCAAAAACAACACTAAAATCCTACACAATAATCATGTCAGTTGTACAATATCAATATCAACTAAGTAATAATACACATGGTATGTATGAGAGTGGAATCAAAATGATCTACCAATAAGAGTTTTATACTGTCTTGAATCAAAGTATTTTTGGTGGCCTCAAGGGCAGCTCCCACAGGATAATCCTTGCATGTGCCATCTTCCTTTTGAAGTTGCAGGAGAGTGTCTGGCTGTTCAAATCAGAAAAGAAAACCAACCAAACCATTACATTGCTGTGATTTGTATTTATCCCTACAATTTAACTTTAATGGCATTAAAAAATATATGCATGAAATAAGTTATTATTTCACCTTATCAACCAACAGACCATTGTGCTGCCTCACTTCGTAAACCACTTCCTGAGCTGCAGCCTTCCTCAAATTTCTCTTGATAATAAAGAACAAGATGTTAACAGATAGCATAACTGATGTATTGAGAATATTAAAAGAGTAACACAAAATTATCACACACCAAGAGTATTATCTGTTGTACTTCCTGCCCTAAGGATTTTGTCTTGTAAACTCTTATCCTGTATGGAAGAACATATGGGGTAATACTCGAAGAATCACTCAATTATATCAAAATAACATAACAAAGTCTTAGTATCTAGCTTTGTATCTCCTTTATCAAAGTATTAGAATTTAATTCAAATTTTCAAACTTTTCAATTAATTTTTCAGCCTAGAAAAATTTGTTCTAAATTGTAATTGGTTGGTGAAATTTAAAAAGTATCCAAGAGAAAGACATGGAAATAGCTCCTGATCATCATTGTAATAACACTGAAATGAATAAAACAAAATTTAGTCTAAACTGTAATAACCCCAACAAGCATATGATATGCACAAAATCTCAATAAATTTTCACTAACAAACCAAATCAACTTACCAGAAGAAAAATTCTTGATGAAGACAAAAATTACCTCTTGATTAGCACAATAACAACCATATTGCTGAGTGACTTCACAGCTTGATACCTTAGTTGATCAAGTAACAAACCTAGGTTCCTACTTGCTTCAATTGATAAATCACTAACATTAAGTATGGGATCCCCTCTATGAAGCCATGTTATGTTAAATTCATCCGGCATCTCTACAACACAAGTAATCAGACAAAAAGCATCGTCAATACTCAATAACCATGAAAAAGAATAGATAACTTATTGATAGTGGAGATGAAAATACTCACTGCCACTACAGGGGCCCATATGCTCACTAAGGTAAGAGCATTATTATTATCTGCAAAGGCCACAGGATAAACACAAAATTAGCACTCCTTTGACAAATCCACAAAATGGAAGTGGAAAAGTTGTTATCAGATACAATAAGTGATCTAAAAATAAACAAAAACCAAGTGAAATGTATAGAAGATTCAACGCTTACCCTTTGAGACAAGATCACACCAGGAATATTGTAGCATGGGATGGTCCTTGATAATATTGGTGGGCTCCACCAATGGTCGAATCTGGAAAGTTAAGAATAGACAACATAACAATGGGCCAGTAACTTAAAAAAATATAATGACAATCTTGTAGAACAACTGCTAAAATAAACACACGAAAAAACTTGTATATCATGCATCATAATTTGCCTGAAGGAAGTAGGTGAAAGTAAACTTGCAAGCAAAGGCCACCAACCAGTAAAGCACGTGTCTGTAAACATTAAGCACAAAGAGTAAGGACTTAATTTAGGTTAAAAACAAGTACAAATAGAGAGTAAGGCATTGGGAATCTTTTGTTGATGTAGCTCTAGCTGTTCGACCCACCCTGTGTAAGAAATCTACAGCGGATGTAGCAAATTCTGCCTGAAAACAAATAGAAAACAATAAAAAAAATGAGAATTAAAATACAGAAAAGAAAATAAAAAAGAAAAAAAATGATTACCTGTATAACATGTGAGACATTGGGAATGTCAGAGCCACGTGCAGCAGCATCAGTGCAAACAAAAACACCACCTTTTTCTTTAAAATCAATCTAATTTCTTGTGCGTTCTTCTAAAGAGCTTTCACTTTGATAACAATAACATTCAATGCCTTTTCCATGTAAAACTTGGGCAACAGCTTCAATAGCTTCAACTGTATTTGCAAACACCATTGTTCTACTCAATTCATTATTGGAATTTAATGTCTTGGATTTATGATTGATTGCATCTATAAGTACATCCACTGATGTAAACTTCAATCCAATTTTGCTCTAATCTGAATCAACACAGATAAAAAAGTTGTAAATAGAATTCTTTTTTATAAAGATTCAATATTTTTTAAAAAAGATACCTTGGATTGTGTCGATGAAGATAATGGCCACTAACCCTCGTTTGCTACATCTGTTGAAAGAAAACTTACAAGTACAAATAGGCAGAATTTGCTACATCTGTTGTTGATGGAGGCGTTTTCTGAGTCGTAATGGGGTATGTACTGAAATGGAGGTGGTGGTGTGTCCCAAAGTGGTCGTATGAATGAAGATATGCTATGGAATTGGGTGTGGTTGAAGATGGCGATAAAAGAAAGGGCCACGAGTATCAGAAGTAGAAGAAATGTGTACCTAATAAACCCTCGTTTGGTGACATTCCGTCTTGCGTCCATGATTTAGGGCTTTCTTTCACCTAATGATCTGCACAAATGGAGGATTATTAGTTTTGATCCATGGATTATCATGATTACAAACTCATCTCTAACATTCAATGGTTTTGCATTTCAATTATCAGATTATCAAAGATGCCAAATTAAAGGTTCAGATGCCAGATCTAAGTAACTATACGCCGAACCACCGACAACCTCCCTTCTCTCTCTCATCTCCCCTTTGCTGCTCACCTGCGTACGCTCGGCCTATCTTCTCTGCCGTTCGCCGGACCGGTCACGGCTCACCTCCTCCGTCCGGAGACCTTTGTGCACCATACCACCACCTCTGTCCACTCTCTCTCTATCGTTCACATATCTTTATAATTGTATGCGAGTGATGGGCCTATGTACACGTGAAGACACTGGTGAGGGATGGTGTCACATCTCAAAACCAGAACGGCGGAAACGTTGGGAAGGACGTCATGTACAATATCACAACAATGCAAAATAGTAAACAAGCAACAACATCATTTATTACATTAATAATATAATTTAATACAAGTGTGTTCTGTCAACTTATATAGACACCAAAAATATGAATCAAAATAAAAGATGAGTCTGGAACGAGCTCCATCTTCTCAAAACCTGGCTCCGGTACCTGTCTACTGGCGACCTGAGAATACAAGTTATTTTAAAAAAGTTTAAGTAAAAGTATTTAACATGTAAAAGAGTTTGATAAAAGCATTTGATATGTAAAAGAGTTTCTCAGACAGTTTGAAGTAAAACAGTTTGGTAACACAGTTTGAAAAGTAAGAAATCCACTTGTTTGATAGTTATTAATCAC